GTAGTGTGTATATAATGAAAGCAGAGTGTTTGTGTAGTGTGTGGGTAGTGTGCGTAAAGTGAATGCTGTATATACTAAATGCAAAGTGTGTGTGTATATAATGAATGCAGAATGTGTGTATTTGTGTAGTGTGTGTATAGTGAATGTAGTGTGTTTATATAATGCAGAGTGTGTGTTTGTATAGTGTGTGTATATAATGCAGTGTGTTTGTGTAGTGTGCATTATATAAACACACTACACAAACACACAGCATTATATACACACACTACACAAACACTGCATTATATAAACACACTACACAAACACACACACTGCATTATATACACACTTCACAAACACACACTGCACAAACACACTATATAAACACACACCGAATTATATAAACACACTACACAACCACACTGCATTATATACCCACACTACACAAACACACACTGCATTATATACCCACACTACACAAACACACACTGCATTATATACACACACTGAACAAACACACACTGCATTATATACACACACTGAACAAACACACACTGCATTATATACACACACTGAACAAACACACACTGCATTATATACACAGTGTGTGTGTAGTGTATGTGTATATAATGCAGTGTGTGAGGGGGCATTTTTTATTAAATTATAAATAAAAAAATTATATTTACTTTATTATTTATTTTTGTTGTCCCCCCTCCCTGCTTGTTACCTGGCCAGGGAGGGGGGATATGACAGTCCCTGGTGGTCCAGTGGCATTGGCTGAGCTGGGGGGGGCGGAGACCAAGTGCTTACTCACCTCCCAGCAGCTCCTCCAGCTCCCCAGTGCAACTCTCGCGGCCAGCGTGTCGCGCGGAGCGTTGCCATGGTGATCCATGGCAACGCTCTGACGGCCGCGGGTCTCGCGAGAGTTGCACTGGGGAGCTGGAGGAGCTGCTGGGAGGTGAGTAAGCGCTTGCTCTCCGCCCCCCCCAGGACCGCCGGGCTTGTAATGAGCCTGGCGGTCCTAGGAGGTATTATCGGCAATATCGGTATCTGAATTGGCCGATACCGATATTGCCGAGAATACCGAATATCGGCCGATTATATCGGTAAAACCGATAATCGGTCGATCCCTATTGTTTAGTAGATAGTGCTAGTCTGCAAAAAGGCAACTGTGGGGGGGGGTGACATGATACCACCCCTCCCCCCCCTGCTGCTGGGGGGTGAAAAGCTAACCAGACCACTTATTTGAGATGAAGGGTATGAGTGTCCCTTTAAATATTAGGAAAATCGCATAGAAAAATGTACCTGCTTAAATTCAATGAAACCAGTCCACTTTCTAGTTGAACTCCATGCACTGATTGTTTCAGCCACTTTAATCACGATCTTGTAAACTGATGATTTCCCAAACAACATGATGTACTGCATGTTGTCTATTTGCTGGAAGCAGGGCCGTCTTTAACGTGGGGCAAACGGGGCAGCTGCCTCTGGCCCAGGTAATCCCATGGCACACGAAGGAGGCCCACCCGGTGTGCATTTGTAAGTAGGGGCCCGGTTGCGCACTCTGGCCCTTCAACAGCGCGACAGGGCCTCTTGTTTTCCTGTAGCTGGCTGGGCAGCGCGCGGCTTTCTGTTCTCTATGGGAGGAAGTGACTTGCGACTGTCACTTCCTCCCACAGAGAGTCGCATGGGAGACAGCAAGGAGGCAGAGAGAAGGTGCAGGATTCAGGGGGCCCAAGAAAATGCTTTGCCCAGAGTCCTATTAATATTATAGACGGCCCTGGCTGGAAGATATCGCTACTAGAAGGGACCTGGATTTAAATAACAGAATATGTAGTCCTGCATGATGCTCACCAGGAATGCTGAATGATAGTACTGTTACATATAGAACTGATGGATATAATTTGCACAGAAGGAAACAGCTGTCATTTTGCAGTATAGGTTCTTCCTGTAGATGAACCAAAACCCTTTACGATAAGATTAACCAACCAAATTCAATCAATACAATCTTTGGAGGCACCTATCTATCACTCAATAAGCTTCACATTGCGGTACCTAAATAAGGAATAATGAAAAACTGTTAACACCTGTACTGAATACTGTATACTTGGATAACCAACTAGAGAAATCCAGGATATAAGAGTTTATAATAATAATAATGCCAATTATTTATGTCAACAAATAGAATTGGAAAGTATCACTCTGACAACCGGGGTAAAATCACATGATTTACAACACAGTGTGCCTAACAATGTCACATGAGCCACCATTATTATGTCCCCGTTACCTCTCTAGCCCCTGCAAGAGGAATGTTGTGTGATGCATAGTTGGTTACCCATCCCTATCTAAAACAGTGGGAAGGGAACAATAGAATGGAATTAAAGAGTTCTGTCTGGCAGCGGTCCTCCCACTTTCTCTTGAAAAATTTGCTTTTGCATACCTCAGCAACAAAGGCACACATTTATCTAACATCCATTTATATAATCCCTGTCATTTATAGCAGAATATGCTGCTCTTTGAGAAACTGGGAAATGGCTGAGATATTGTAGCCAACTCTTGCACTCCTATTGATATCTACTTCCAGGAGCACTGCACAATAGAACTTTTTTTTTTTTTTTTAAAGAGAACTTTGTGAGCCATCAACAACAAGCTTCATATATGCAAATAGGGCCCTTCTCAATAGTCATGTTATTCTACTTCACTTAGCAAATGAAATTGTGAATATATCTATTTGTGTATGCACTGCTTGTTGCATAATTTTGAGAGCACGCACAGCAAGGATTTATGGGAAAATTACATCTATGTTTTTCACTTTTGTTGTCTCAATACTAGCCTTCAAAGTAAGAGATGGAGTTAAAGGACCACTATAGTGCCAGGAAAACATACTCGTTTTCCTGGCACTATAGTGTCCTGAGGGTGCCCCCACCCTCAGGGTCCCCCTCCCGCCGGGCTCTGGGGAGAGGAAGGGGTTAAACACTTACGCCGGGGGGAGCTTCTCCTCTCCTTCCTAGCGACGTCATCGGCTGAATGCGCGTGCGCGGCATTCAGCCAGTCTCATAGGAAAGCATTCATAATGCTTTCCTATGGACGCTGGCGTCTTCTCACTGTGATTTTCACAGTGAGAAGCACGCAGGCGCCTCTAGCAGCTGTCAATGAGACAGCCACTAGAGGCTGGATTAACCCTCAGTGTAAACACAGCAGTTTCTCTGAAACTATGTTTATAAAAAAAAAAAAAAGGGTTAATCCTTCATTAAGCTGAAGTGGTCTGGGTGCTTATAGTGGTCCTTTAAGGTGGACATGCGCTTTAAAATGTATTGAAAATGACCCATCTTGCATTTCCATTTGAATACAGGCTTCGTAATGGTTCTTGTTCTAGTAATGAATCTTCTAAAGCAGTGGTGCCCAAAGCAGTCCTCGTGTAGCACAAACAGTCCAGGATTTATGTATTTCCCTTTTTTATTCCAATGGAGATACTGACAAAACCTGGACTGTTGATGGGCCATAAGGACTGGTTTGGGAACTACTGTCCTTAAGCATTTTATACAGAGAATAATTAAAACAAAACAAAGTCATTTAAATTATCTTTATATTAATTATTGGAATTAATAATACTATGTGGTGATTAACATCAGACTGCATTTCCTTTTCACAACTGAAAGGTATCTGATAAAGTTACAAGAGAAAGAACAGAGGTAGAGCCAGGGAAGCGGGGGTAACCCCAAGTAGGAAGTAGAAAGGTAAAAAGTGGTGTACCTAGACAGCCTGAGATAGAAATTGAAAATTCGTAACTGACTGTCAAAATGTCAGAAATGACAGAAGAATAGCTGCCATACCCTCCTATTAAACACTAAAACTGTTTAGTTCTACTACGAAGCACTATCCTGCTATAACCTCTATTTAGTAGCTTTAAAATATCTAACTATTAGCATTGATTATTAGCATTCAGATTGATCTCATTTTAATGGCTCGATACTTGCCAATTCACCTGTGTATTCCTTACCAGTCCTGTTTAAACTGGCACTTATTTTAGATTGGCCCCAGTACTTACAAGACTTTTTCTGATCCAGATATACGTAATGTACGGCAGGCTAGACAGTCCTCTAATGTAAGTAGGGGTCTGGTACAATAATAGACGATACCCTAGCTTACACTCTATGTAAAAGAACGCTTACAATCTGTACTAGCAGATTTGAGATTGGAATGATTGCTTGCTATTTGTTTTAGTACCATAGGGTGATTTTTAACAGGGTACTAATCTTTAGTACCTACTGTATGTCCACTGTCTGTACACAAGCACACTCACTATATATATATTTGTCACAAGAGTTTATAATTTAATAAAATGTATTTATTTTTTTATTTTATCAGCCTAGTATTCTGTCTGGCAGCTATTCTTCTGTCATTTCTGACATTTTGACAGTCAGTTACGTATTTTCAATTTCTATCTCAGGCTGTCTAGGTACACCACTTTTTGCCTTTCTGTATCTGATAAAATACAACATTAAGAAAAAAGATTTAAAGGGACACTATAGGCACCCCAGACCACTTCAGCTTATTGAAGTGGTCTAGGTGCAGTGCCCCTTTTGCACTTAGTGATGCAATGTTAAACATTGCAGTTACAGAGAAACTGCAATGTTTACATTGCAACTCTAAGTCTGCCTTAAAGGAGCACTATAGGGCCAGGAACACAAACATGTATTCCTGACCCTATAGGGTAAAACCACCATCTAGCCACCTTGTCCCCCTCATGCCTCCCTAAAAATAGTAATATCTTACTTGTATTCAAGCCTGAAGCTGTAACTCTGCTTGCTGTTATCTTCAGAAAAAAAAGTTGTCTGCTGACATCATCAGAAGTGGTGTCCTGATCCAATCACAGTGCTTCTCCATAGGATTGGCTGAGACTTACAAGGAGGCAGATCAGGGGCAGAGCAAGCACAATTCAAGCACATCCCGGCCAATCAACATCTCCTCATAGAGATGAATTGAATCAATGTATCTCTATGAGGAAAGTTCAGTGTCTGCATGCAGAGGGAGGAGACATTGAATGCTTGGATGCATTTTAGGCAGCCATGACCTAGGAAGGATCTCTAACAGCCATCTGAGGAGTGGCCAGTGAAGTTTCTCTGAAAAGACAGGGTTTACAGCAAAAAGCCTGAAGGTAATGATTCTACTCACCAGAACAAATTCAATAAGCTGTAGTTGTTCTGGTGACTATAGTGTCCCTTTAATTAATTGTAAGTCTTGCATGTAGAGATGTTTGCTGATCTACTAAGTGTAATCATTTCATGCAGCTTTGCAAACAGTAATTTCCTGATTTTCTGAAGCTAGTTATCTCCTTTTTTAGATTAGGTCTGCGGTGGAAAAATTACAAAACCTGAAATAGATGTGTTTCTTGGAAACCCCACCTTAGCAACTGTAAGATGATTTTTTTTTTTTTTAATGTTTGAAATAATTAAAAAGTTAATATTTAATGTGTGCCAAGAATGAATTACTGGATGGGGAAAGTGGGATTAAAATTAATCATTTGAAGAAAAGGAGTGCTTCATTGTCATGTGAATGGACTATGTGCATTGGAAATACGTCTTCATCCAAGAGGGAGACAATGGGTTCTTTAGTGAATTGTTCCACAGAAGAACTAAATGGTTCTGATATATGGAACCCTCACATTGTTCTTGCACTGGGAATTCCTCAAATGATCACCAATTTAGTGGCTGCAGCTTTTAACTGTACGGTCATTTTTACTATATCATTTTCTAAAGACTTAAATCATCCTATTTTCTTACTGTTTTGCAATTTGGCTGTGTCAGATCTTCTGGTGAGTGTATCTGGATTTTGGATTTCTCTGTGTTTTATTGGCCAGCCTGACAGCACCATATTTGGTTCTCGGAGTATATTGGTAGCATATGTTGCATATGCTGTGTCCATTCTATCCACCGTTTATAATCTCGTAAGCATTGGAATAGAGCGCTATTTGACAGTATCTGGGAGGACCAGGCTTAGATGTAGAGCATCTAGAAACCAAGTTTTTTCTGCAATTTTCATTAATTGGACTTTAGCTATAATTTTGGGCTCTCTACCTCTGATGGGATGGGATTGCTTGAAGAAAGACGGCTTTAAGTCTACGCTTTATGGACCATTTTGCATTGACTACTTAGCTTTTATAACAATACCTAATTGCATGGTTGCCCTTGTACTGCCGCTGACTTCATACATTGGGATTATTATAAAAGTAAGAAAACAAAAACTTTGCATGCAGGCCCATGGACAACATCATAGTACATACAAAGCAGCAGAGGTACATGTTGCAAAAACCTGCATTTTCATCTGGATACTTGCTGTTGTCTCTTATGCACCTTTTTTCGGGGGTGTCCTCTGGGATATTCTCAACACAGTTTGCCCTGAAGAATTACAGACAAGTGCATTTGTGTTCAGAAACGTCAGTGCTACCATGATCACATTGAATTCTTTAGGGAATCCAATTATCTACACATTCAAATTCAAACTCACGAGGGACAATCTTACTATTTGTAAATGCCAATCAAAAAATCAAATATCAGCTGTGGCACTTCGAAACTTTTGAATTTATTGAAGTTTACCAATTACCAAATTTTAACAAAAAGCTATGTTTATTGGTGGTTCACAAGCTTTTCATTGCAATTTCTAGGCCCATAAAATATTTACTTAAAAACCATTGCCTATAATGCAGATAATATGGATCCAGAGTCAAATTAAAAAAATAAATATTCAGGATTGTTAACAAAAAAAAATTCTACATTTTTTTTAACATGCACTGCAAAATCTCACTATACTAGTCTCAGATAATACATAATTGTTAAAAATGTGGTATACCGTCCCTCAAAATCTTCTCAGTGCCAAGAACTACAACACAATATAAAACTGAGCAAAGCCATAAGAAAAGAGCAGGAATGCTAAATAATTAATAATTCTAAGTTATAAACTTTGAAATTCTTGATTTCTCATGAGGTGTATTTCCACTGTAAAATTATCTTTAAAAAACTGTTTCATATTGCTTTGTTAAAAAAAATTTTTTTTTATCGTCTGGTGATATACCTTACCCACTAGTGCTCCAGCAGTAAATTATGAAATACTTGCTCAAACTGCTGACTGCTAGAATGGTCAGCTTTGCCTTTCCTCCTGTCAAAGTCAAAGCCAGTTTAATAATATGAGATTAGTATGAAAAGGCGTTTTCTTATTTTCTAAATGTATATAAACTGCGCTGACAACAACCCAATCTGTTCTTGAATTATAAGTGAAATGAAGTTATACTCAATATCTGTTTGTTTTTAGTAACAGCTTGTTAGTGTTTATGCAAAATTATAAATATATGTTTTGTATACGAGTGTATGTTTCCATATATGACTAAAAGTTCAGTAGATCTGACTTCACCCATTGTTAGCTGGTTCATAAAATCCAGCACATAGTCATGAAATCGCCATAGACAGACATTGGGCCATACTGAAGAGCTCAGTGACTTAAAACCTAGTCATGTAATAGGATGCCACCTGTGTTATAAGTGCTACTGCTATTAAAGATCTGCCCCAACAGCACACGAACTGCACTTTGGATCATGAAACAGATTTCTAGCGCTGAGCAACTGTACACAAGCCTCAAGTAAAAATGTCAAGTGTTGGCTGGAGTGGTTAAAAGCACCCCGCCACTGAACTCTGGAACAGTGGAAATGTGTATTCTGGAGTGATGGCTCACACTTCATTATCTAACTGGTGTCCACAATCGTTTTCTCTTTATCTCTTACAATATATATTCTATATTATAACTGATCACCTGGCACCCCGACTGGGTACCTCCGTTAAAGGATGCTCCTAGCGTTTTCTGAGGACTCCAAGCATTCTGGCAGACACCACAATCACCGAACCGGAGAAGCGTATAACTTCTCTCAAGCATATGAATGCTATAAACAGCTGAATAGGCTAAAACCATACGGATGGGTTTAGACTCCTAGCAGTCAAACTGGAACAGCATACAATAAATCCTCCCCCAATAATGAGACGACACTTCACTTTGAGGGTTAAGCAGGAACTCGTTTACTGGGGCCAACTGCCCGGCTTTTATGCAGGTCTCCCACCTGGTGGACACTCCCCTAGGGGACCATATGGGAAACATATTGGCTCTTAGCCAATCACAGACATACACCTTTAAACACTCCCACAATTACATCACAATCCCTCCTCTCTGTCCTGGAGATAATTGGGAAGTTAATTGGGAAGTAATCCACTTATCTCCCAGGACAGAGGCAAAACTCCATTAACCACATGGCAGTAACAATACAGTAAAACACATAAAATTACATACAGCCACATTTATTACCTAAAACATATACATTCTACATATCCCCAGATAGCTTAGATCTGAGCGCACATTACTACCGAATGGCGCTCAGATCACATACATACAGTTCAACCGCCATGGAGCCAAAGTCTTTCATACAGTCTTTCAGTATACGGCTGGGCTCCATGGCATAGCTATCTGGGGTAGCATGGCTTTAACAGTCTACAGAAAGGCATGAATACGCTTTGCAGGGAAAATAAAAGGTTTTAACTGCCGGGCCATAGTCTAAAGGGAGCAGGCGAGCAACCAGGCTCCTCCAGTGGACAGTGGCGAGGCTGGTTTCGCCACATTTCTCCCCTTTACCATCCAGACTAACAGGGTATCTGACCTCCTGTCGGTCAGTGCCCTGGTTAGTCCAGCAACCCACCCACGAAACAGAATCCGCAGTATAACCCACCCACCAGAATTGGTTACTACACCAGGGGTAGTGGGTAGTTTGTCCATGTCTAGGAGCTCCACCTCGGCTCTGGGGGTACTAGCGTTCCGGATCGGTGGGTTGCTGAGTGGGCAGAGACCAGCGGTACTCTGCCCTGCTGCCAGCGCTACCACGGGAGTAGCCTGGTTGGAGCCCAGTTGAGGGAATGGCGTAATAGGCTCCTCACTCTGGACCTGGTACTGCTCCTGGAGGGCAAGACAGGCTGTCTCCCCTTTGGATGAACATCCCTGCTGCCGGGGAACAGGACCGACCGTCCCTAGCCCACGGTCCCATCTGCACTGGTGTGGGGCTTATCATCTCCCCTTGGTGGGCTAGGCTGCCGTTGGGGAGAGGGGGTAGCAAGTTCCTCTCCCTTATCCACTTTCTGTCGCTGGGGAGAGGGAATGACAAGCTCTTCTCCCTGACTCTCTCTCTGCTGGTGGAGGGGGGGGACCGACTGTCTCCCCTTTCAATATACTGTCCTGCTGCTGGGGGACGAGACAGACTGTCTCATCTGCCCCATCTGGGAGAATAGGGTCTCCCCCTTGGGAAATAAGCTGCCGCTGGGGAGAGGTGGTCACCGACTCCTCTCCCTGGAACCCTTTCACCTGCTGGGGAGAGGGGGTAGCAGGCTCCTCTCCCTGACACTCTTTCTGCTGGTGGAGAGGGGGACCGACTGTCTCCCCTTTCAATATTTTGTCCTGCTGCTGGGGTGCGAGACCGACCGTCTCTGCTCCCTGCAGGATACCCTGCCGCTGGGGAGGAAGGACGGCACCTTCAGCTCCCTGTAAGACAGTCTGCCGCCGGGGAGGAAGGACGACACCTGCAGCTCCCTGTAACACACACTGCCACCGGGGAGGAAGGACGGCACCTTCAGTTCCCTGTAATACACACTGCCGCTGGGGAGGAAGGACGACACCTTCAGCTCCCTGTAATACACACTGCCGCTGGGGAGGAAGGACAACACCTTCGGCTCCCTGTAACACACACGGCCGCTGGGGAGGAAGGACGCCACCTTCAGCTCCCTGTAACACACACTGCTGCTGGGGAGGAAGGACGGCACCTTCAGCTCCCTGTAACACACACTGCCGCTGGGGAGGAAGGACGGCACCTTCAGCTCCCTGGGACACACACTGCCGCTGGGGAGGGGGACCGACTGTCTCCCCTTTCAATATTTTGTCCTGCTGCTGGGGTGCGAAACCGACGGTCTCTGCTCCCTGCAGGACACCCTGCCGCCGGGGAGGAAGGACGACACCTACAGCTCCCTGTAACACACACGGCCGCTGGAGAGGAAGGACGCCACCTTCAGCTCCCTGTAACACACACTGCCACTGGGGAGGAAGGACGGCACCTTCAGCTCTCTGTAACACACACTGCCGCTGGGGAGGAAGGATGGCACCTTCAGCTCCCTGGGACACACACTGCAGCTGGGGAGGAAGGACGCCACCTTCAGCTCCCTGTAACTTACTCGGCCGCTGGGGTCTCTCCCCCCTGGCTAAATCTGCTTTTAACTGCAGGTACTCTGCCACTCTTCTCCTTGTGTTTTGTACATATTTCTCTTCTGGATTGGGTCCAAAGAAAGCCAGCAGGCTTTTCAGCATAGCGTTGAACTCCTCCTGAGTGTAGCTGGGCGCCATGCTTGCTCTGCTGAAGTTGGCTCTTTTGTAGATAGGGTCGCTGTACGGGTACTAGCGTTACCCTCAATTTGTAAGTCCAGGGAATGGTGTTACCCTGTAGCTGTCCTTCTGGGCTGTGGGAATGATCCCGTCGCTTGCCACCAATGTAACGGATCCCCTGGCACCCCGACTGGGTACCTCCATTAAAGGATGCTCCTAGCGTTTCCTGAGGACTCCAAGCACTCTGGCAGACACCACAATCACCGAACCGGAGAAGCGTATAACTTCTCTTAAGCATATGAATGCTATAAACAGCTGAATAGGCTAAAACCATACGGATGGGTTTAGACTCCTAGCAGTCAAACTGGAACAGCATACAATAAATCCTCCCCCAATAATGAGACGACACTTCACTTTGAGGGTAAAGCAGGAACTCGTTTACTGGGGCCAACTGCCCGGCTTTTATGCAGGTCTCCCACCTGGTGGACACTCCCCTAGGGGACCATATGGGAAACTGGGAAACATATTGGCTCTTAGCCAATCACAGACATACACCTTTAAACACTCCCACAATTACATCACAATCCCTCCTCTCTGTCCTGGAGATAATTGGGAAGTTAATTGGGAAGTAATCCACTTATCTCCCAGGACAGAGGCAAAACTCCATTAACCACATGGCAGTAACAATACAGTAAAACACATAAAATTACATACAGCCACATTTATTACCTAAAACATATACATTCTACATATCCCCAGATAGCTTAGATCTGAGCGCACATTACTACCGAATGGCGCTCAGATCACATACATACAGTTCAACCGCCATGGAGCCAAAGTCTTTCATACAGTCTTTCAGTATACGGCTGGGCTCCATGGCATAGCTATCTGGGGTAGCATGGCTTTAACAGTCTACAGAAAGGCATGAATAAGCTTTGCAGGGAAAATAAAAGGTTTTAACTGCCGGGCCATAGTCTAAAGGGAGCAGGCGAGCAACCAGGCTCCTCCAGTGGACAGTGGCGAGGCTGGTTTCGCCACATTTCTCCCCTTTACCATCCAGACTAACAGGGTATCTGACCTCCTGTCAGTCAGTGCCCTGGTTAGTCCAGCAACCCACCCACGAAACAGAATCCGCAGTATAACCCACCCACCAGAATTGGTTACTACACCAGGGGTAGTGGG